TTATATTTTACTTATTTTTGTACGTTCCTATCTAACATTTTTGTTTCTTCCAAATAAATGATTTATATTTTATGAAAAAAATTGATATTAGAAGCTTATTTCCTTCTTCCATTTCAATATATAATAAATTAGGAAGGTATCGATATTACGTATAGTATTAATGATAATATGTAACTGTAGAACACCTTGTACAAATTATTATTTTTTTGAAATGTAATTTACGTATAAGTACTTTAGTCATTTAAATTTTGTACAATGTAGCTTGTCATACATATATTTGTAGTGTAAGAACTGATAAATTACCTCACAAGTATGCAAAATATTTTTTAATCAAAACATGATCTCGTTCAAACATATCTTAAGTGCTACTTACTTTTAGAACAGTTACTACTACTACTACTATTACTAAAACTACTGCTACCGCTGCTACTACTGGAAACACTATCAGTAGAATCAGATTCACTGTCTGACGATGAGGTACTACTACTGNAATACATACATGAATGATGAAAGACCAAAATAAGCAATATTTAGAAGCAGTATTAATAAAGAGAAATACATTTTTCTACTTAGGTAGATTTATCAGAGCCGATTCTATCTCGTTTTGATATACTTTGTGTAGTAAAGGATGAAATAGATCCTATGCAAGATAGGCACTTGGCTAAATTTGTTGTGAATTCTCACATCAAACATCATCCGACAAATGCAGAAAAAACAATACCTACAGAGGAGAATGCACGAGATATATCCATTCCACAAGATCTTTTAAAGAAGTATATAGTTTATGCAAAACAAAATGTTCATCCAAAATTGACAAATATTGATCAAGACAAAGTAGCAAAGTTGTACAGTCAGTTGAGACAAGAAAGCTTGGTAAGTGGAACATGTATCAGTTATAAATATATTATTACTGTGGTACAACTTCTTTAACAAATCTTTTAGGCCACTGGAAGTTTACCAATTACTGTAAGACATATAGAAAGTATTATACGTATGTCTGAAGCAAGCGCCAAGATTCATTTGCGGGATCATGTTCAAGATACCGATATTAATATTGCCATAAGAATGATGCTTGATAGCTTTGTTGATACGCAAAAATATTCAGTAATGAGAAGCATGCGACAGGTATGTATTTCGGATTAAGTATGTAATTAATGTGTTTAGAGTGATTTTATTAAAATATAACAAATTTGCTGTTATTTCTTTACAGACATTCCAGAAATATTTATCATATAAAAAAGATCACAGTGAACTTTTGTATTATATACTGAGACAAATTACATTGGATACTTTAGCATTCCAAAGAGCTTTACATGGAAATCGCATTACAACAATCGAAGTTTCAGAAAGAGATCTATTAGAGAGGGTATGAACAATTTATCTCGTTTGACATATTTCATTTTGTTTTAACATACTGATTCGCTTATATTTTCATCTTATTGTAGGCTAAACAGATTGATATACACAATCTTCATCCNTTATATTTTACTTATTTTTGTACGTTCCTATCTAACATTTTTGTTTCTTCCAAATAAATGATTTATATTTTATGAAAAAAATTGATATTAGAAGCTTATNTTATATTTTACTTATTTTTGTACGTTCCTATCTAACATTTTTGTTTCTTCCAAATAAATGATTTATATTTTATGAAAAAAATTGATATTAGAAGCTTATTTCCTTCTTCCATTTCAATATATAATAAATTAGGAAGGTATCGATATTACGTATAGTATTAATGATAATATGTAACTGTAGAACACCTTGTACAAATTATTATTTTTTTGAAATGTAATTTACGTATAAGTACTTTAGTCATTTAAATTTTGTACAATGTAGCTTGTCATACATATATTTGTAGTGTAAGAACTGATAAATTACCTCACAAGTATGCAAAATATTTTTTAATCAAAACATGATCTCGTTCAAACATATCTTAAGTGCTACTTACTTTTAGAACAGTTACTACTACTACTACTATTACTAAAACTACTGCTACCGCTGCTACTACTGGAAACACTATCAGTAGAATCAGATTCACTGTCTGACGATGAGGTACTACTACTGCTAGAACTGCTGCTTTCAGCACTAGAATTTGTTTCACTGGAACTGCTAGATTCTTTTCTCATCTTCTTCTGTTGACGATTTTTCTTGATTTCTTTTTTTTTTGGATCATGACTGTAATAACACATTCATCGATGTTATCGTTTATCAAAGTCTAGACTTAGCGAAGTTCATAAGTTTTGAATCACTTACATATTAGATTCTTCTTGTTGTTTTAATGTTTTCTTTAATTGTGATGTACGTGAAGATCTATGTACATATTTTCTTTTCCCCTTACATTCATAACTCCAATGTCCCATTTCCAAACATTTCTGACATCGCATCCCTTGAGGGTATGGATTGCTAAAGGCACAGCAATAAAAAAATGTTTTCGCATTAGTTAATATTACATGAAATACTTCATTTACTATTCTTTTTACATTATTAAAAAATTAACTTATGTATCAACTATATACACAAATTATAAAATGTTCAAATAAATTTTATACTAACTTTTTCTTTAACACTTTCAAACCGTTTGAACTCATCTTTTACACTACTAATCATACTTTAAAATTACAAATCCATCAACTTCTGATGTCGTCCGAAAATATAAAAACTTTGTTTACAGTAAGATAGGTTATTTTGCGGTACCAGATAAGCTTCGATACGCCATGCCATAATGCCATACTACATACATACATACATATATAGATATGAACACAATTGCTTTTGAAGTGCTACCTAGGCGTAGACGGTTAGAAGCATCGTGTATTCATAACAGTTACGAATATTGTAAAATTTTTCCCAAGTATATGAAAAATAATGACTGCTTCGATTCACAAAGAAAATCGATCTTATGATATACAGTTAATGGAGAACGTTTGTAAAAATATAGAATTAAAAGTTCATAAAAACCTTTCGAAAACAAATTACGAAATACTAAAACAAAGAAAGACAGTATTAAAAGAAGAACGAATGAAAATGGTAAAAGAATATAATAAGTTGATAATGAATTATTACAGATATTTA